GAATTTTAGCCATGTTTGCAGAAATTTTACATTCAAGATGACACTGTTTCTGAATTTGTCTGGTAACATCTAAATGTCATGTTCAGTCAATGCATTTCAGAAACATTTTAAGAATGTCAAGAATCTGAAAGTTGAAAACAGGGTTTCAAAAAACATTTCTATTGCCTACTTACAGGTATTGCAGGTTCCAACATACCTATCTCTAGCATTCACTAAAGTGAACAAAGACCAGTCTTTCCTCTTTCAGTACGTTTCAGAAATATATTTTATCCATAGAATTTAACATGCTAACAACCTGAACAATTTATCTTGCGCAGAAGTAACAGTGTTCGAAGTAATAGGAGAGCGAAGAAGGAATGTGTTAGCATTCTTTCGCCTCCGGAAAACAGAGATCCTGGAAGATGAGAAAACTGAAGTAGTCTCATTGATAAAAGGAGGACGGCAGCCCAGAGCAAGAGATATAATAAAAGACTACGATGGTTTCAGAATATGCAATGATCTATACGTACAAAAATGAAGATTGGACCCCTCAAGGATTGAGACTTGGAGATGCCTCATTAAAAGAACCTCCTCCCTACTTCCCCCTACTGTGAATATAAGAGCAGTGCAACTTGTTTATCTGTTAATGAGGAAAAAAAAAGTATGTATTTTTATTTTTTTTGCCTCATAGATAAAAGTGTATAAATATGTATATACACACACAGAAATACATATGGAGAAAAAAAAAAAGACAGAGAGAAAAAAAATATTTTCTTATTTATACGATACCTTTCCATCAACAGGAACACCCAACTCTTCTGACAATCGGGGATGAATAATCCACTTATAAGCTTCTTTCAGCTGAACAATGTCATCCTTTGCCAAGGAAAGGCCCAGATTTCTGAATCGCAAAGAAATAATAACTTGCACAGAGGTCTGTCAAAGATAGATACTTGACACATAATATTTCAAGACAAACTTAAGTAACTAGTGCCAGGTAAACAAGCAATGCACAAATAAAAAAAGGACAAAAGTACTAAGCGTACAGACCATGGCATGAAAGAATGAAACGCTGTTCCAAGACCTCCTATAACAGCACTGAATCTTTGTACTGAACTAACAAACAAAGCATTGAGAAAACATTAAGGCCAGACCAGGATTCCAAGTATGATGCTTCCCAATAAACACATAAGAGTTTGGCAGGGAGTAGCTAAAGGTGTAGCTACCTGAGCTACAGTCAGCTCAAGCACAGGTAGGACTATGTTGCCTCCTCCCTGCCTCTGGCTGGGCATTCCTGCCAGCACTTGCATGCTGACACTACTCAGCACCTTAAGTAATACCAGTCCACTGATCCCATTTAAAGCAAACCCTAATCCATGAAAAAAAGTTGGTTTTCAGCCAGATAAGTGAGATGATAAGCTCTCCTGGTGGTCACATAAACACATTAACACAAGACAGAAGGTACATGCAGATGGATGCAAGTTCCTTCTGATAGTAAATCAACATCTAGTTCAGCTTAAGTAAACTGAGTATCTGGATCCTGCAGGGCAGCACCTGTGCTGCTTGCTAAGGAGCCTCCTATCCAGCTTCCACCCTAAGTAATAGCTTGTTTTGCTGTTTCTATTTGCCAGTGGTTTTTTTCACTAACATTTAAATATAGATTCTTTTTTTTCTTGTGTAAAAGAACATGCACTGAGGAAACTCATACCATAGCCTCATAGTAGATAAAAAGTTGCAAAAGTCTTTCCAGAGTCTAACTGGAAAAGAGCTGAGAAAGAGAGAGGCACAAAAATCCTTTGTTTAAAAAAAAAATAAAAATCTTGTTAGACTTATTTTTATTGTTAAAAGCAATCTAGTCCTTTGTTACAGGTGGGCATGAACTCCAGTAGGCAAAAATTCCTAAAAGGAAAAGCCCAGATGACAATCTCAGTTGACCTTGCTAGGACAGGCTCAACTATCTCTATAGGCACAAGTCTGAGCCTTGACTCCTGTGTCTTTGCCTATGGAGAGAGAAGTTAAAACGGGCAAGTGCCTGTAAGGATGCACACATATGATTTCAAACCACTTGTTTGGGAACTTAGAGAGTAAAGCACTGGTAGGCTACTGGGCAATATTTGCCCTACAGGGCCTCATCCTCTCTCAAGCAATTTAATGAAACATTTGTTTTTAAATTAGTCTCAAAGTAGGAAGTTATTCATCATCTTTTAGTCTAGCCTTCTATGAATATCTTGAAATGGTACTTCCAGCCAAGATAACTTCCACCGAAGAGTAGTTCAGTATCCTCAACTAACTTTGAGACAATTGGATTTCTTTCCTCTTGCCCACAAAGGCAGTTCATCTGTTCAAAATGGCTCTAATACATTCTTATTTGGTCAGAAGTGGAAGTGTCCTGGAGTAGACAAAGAATCAAGCATTTAAATTGATTTCAGAACATTCAAGTATTAAAAAAAAAAATATTTTAAAAGTCCAAACTAACTTCCACCCACTGTACTAACACCTTTCTTGCTACACTACTGACTTTTCACCATTATCTGACTTTTCTGTCACTATTAATGTAAGCTAAACCTCATATGGTGGCAAAATGAAGAGGTCTGTAATTCATTATGTCTTCCATATACTAGAAGATTCTGGCTCACAGATGGCATCATGGCATCTCTCAGGACCATTAAGTTAACTCAAAGCTGTACAGTTGGACAGACAGTTTGCGCTCCAAGTTGAAACATCACATGCTAGCTATAACCACAGTATTAGGCAAAAGAGATAAGACACCCCAATTAAGGTCAAACCAGGTTAAAAAAACCCAACACAACACACAAAAAAGCTGCCATCTTATGCTTCGTAAGCATCAAGTCAACTGGACCACTCGACAAGACTATAAAATCAACCTCTTGCCTGCTCAACATTTATCGAAACAAATGGCATCTATATAAAAGAGCTCTTGTCAGACAGTAAAAGCTATGGACAATTAAAAAAACAAAACCAAAATCAAACAATGAAAGCACATCCCAATTCTGAATTTCCTTATGCTTAGTTTTGAAGGTACAAAGCAAGTTAAAACCTTGGCCAAGGACATAGGAGGTGAGTCTACATATTCCACAACGGTTAGCAGAAGTACCTTTATATGAAAGCAACTGTCTTGACCTCAAAAATATAGCATTGATTGCTTGGTTAAATTTTTCTTTTAACATACATGTCTCAGCAGGTCCACTGCATTAAGTGGTTTCTCATTTCTACTATGCTGGAATAAAGTTATAGTAAAAGTACCTTTCCTTTCTCTAAATCTGAAGAACTCTCTAACAGAAGCAGTATGAAGGTTGCCAAAAGAGATTACTCACCCCATTTCCTGTTTTACCAGCAGCCAAGCAGCACGCTATAGGTCACCAGTCATGCCCAGGAAGAAGACAGAGGGGAAAAAAGAAGAAGAAAAAAAAAAAAAAAAAAAAGCCAGTGAAATTAAGGCTCAAACCTCCCAACAATTTCAGAGAATGTTGGTAGAAGGAAAAATGTTTTAAAAACTCAGGACAAAAAAGAAGTATTAGGATTTCGATTTAGCTTTTGCTTTAGAAGTGGAAAGACAGAACTGGTGTTTGTTTTTATTTGTAAGCCATTGCTTTGCAATTCACTTCAAATCCTATCTGGCTTTGGAAAAAAAAAAAAAAGATCAGGCTGCATTAAACACACTTTGAAACTTGCTATTAACGCTATAACTAGAAAAAGACTCTGACAGCCTAAGTGCAACTAGCAGTTATCTACCATACAGAGAAACGAAAAAAAAAAAGTTTCTAAACGGATGGTATACGAAAACTGAGTCGGCACATAAATAAATAAAAAATAATCAAATTCAGTTATCATCCCTTACAAAACAATACGAAATAAAAGACATACTTGGTCTCATGGGAATCACAAACCCTCCCTCTGAGGATCACCCCCTTATTTAAAGCACACCACTTAGTTTAGGAGACATAGGCTGAATATAAGAAAGCTGACATACAGAAGGACTCATTCCAGAAATCAGAGGGAGCTTTTAGTACAAACACTAGAGTTCATTAACAATTATTTGTCACGCAGCATACGTAGGAATGACCGAAGATGTGACCTCAGAATCATGGGCAGATTCAACCTTGAATTCTCCTTTGTTTCCCAATTGCCCCTCTGTTACTTTGGGCAGATGGTCTGTGAATGCCACCTTCTACAGCTCTTGATGTGCTTTTTTGAGCAGAGGTTTCAAGAAGTAATATTTGCTTTACATGTGTGATCACAGGATAACTCAGGGACCTCAGAAGGTTTCTATCGAACCTTCTGCTTATAGTAGGATTGGCTATGAAATCAGACGAAGTTGCTCAGGGCTCCATCCAATGAGTTCTTGAAAACCTCCAGTAATGCAGACTGCACCACCTCTCTGGACAACCTGCTCTAATGCTTTTTTGTCCTCAATCCATGCATTGCAAATACTTCCTCAAACTCTACTCCTCTCCTCTAGCAGACTTATAAAGAAACATAATGCAGCAGGCCCCTTAGATGTGACACTGCCCAGGAAAGAGAACCATGAAGCATCACTTAGGTGTCCCAGCCCACAAATTGAACTCAGCAGTGTAAGAATTAACAATCACTATAACAAAGGTCAAAAGCAGAATTAAAATTACCACTGATATGAAAGAACAATAGAAAAACACAAAAGTAAGCACAAAGGAGCCACGGCCATCAAATCAGTGCAACACTAATAGACTCAAACAAAATAAAAAACGATCAAGAAACTGAAGACTTCCAAACAACATTGCTTATGCCAAAAGCTTCCAAAAGTATATCTTTCTCAAACTCTGCCAAACATTTTAGAGGTTCATCTCTTTGCAGTCTCACTCACTTCTCTTTGCACTGACATACTGATTCTACAAAACAATCTATTACTTCAGTGTAGTAATTGGTCAGCACTTTAGGCTTTAAATTTTGCCTCTGTGCGGGCCAAGAATGACTGCCATTCTCTGCATCACAATGAAAACAGACCTTATTAAACTGAAGTGCATTACAGTTAACCAGAACTTTAACTTTGCCCTCAAATTAAGTGGAGAAAAAAAAAGTGATGTTGGACACAGGTATTCAGAAGACCCGTAGAATTTCCACAGAAAGCTTATCAGTGCAAAAGCAATTAAGAAGAGAAAAACTCCCCTCAAAACCTCCTACACAAAGCAACAACATTCTCAGTTCTTCCTCTACCACCACCACCAAAATACATTAGGACTGGCAGGATGCCACTTAAACAATAGAACCTGTACTGTCAACACAGAGTCCAGACACCTATTCTCATCATCCTCACTGAAGATTAATTCCAAAAATCAAGTTGTTTGGCTTGAAAGAACTACAATGAAAAACCTCAAAATTAGTAGTTTTCAATCTGCAGACTGTAGACTACTAGTAAAGTGTCAGAGAAAGGTGACTCCATACCCTTGTCATACAACCATATATACATAGGCAATGTCCAAAAGAGTTGGTATCTCAAAAGCAGTGAACACCACCGATTTAAATTCTACAGAATTTTAAACCCCTTCCCTGTCTTTCATTCCTCATATATGGTGAAAGACCCCAGACTCTGCCAAAAGAATTACTGTCTATTGTCAAGGAAATAATTCTAATTAAGAGGTTTGAAAACATGTATTGAACTTAAAGGAGCAGAGCCAGGATGACATCACTTTTTCATTGATATCAGAAGGAGCCACATCATAGAGATCTTTTGTATGCTGATAGAGGAACTCAATCAAAAAATGTCTATTATCCTTCCGTTGCTACATCTAAAAGAATGAAG